CGAAGGTGGGCGGTCAGTGCGAGCTGGCGGGAGAGGACGACTCGAAGTTCCTTTGTGACGACGGAAGGTGTCTCCCTCTACGACTTCGCTGCGACAGAAAGATAGACTGTCTTAATGGCGAGGATGAAGAAGACTGTCGTAAGTATATGTTTGAAATCGTAATTTATAGACGTATATGATATTTACAATTTTTCAGACTATTTCCTGTTTTCCACTAGAGTATAATCAGGGGGAAGCGCTAAAGCCGTAGGATTACACAGTGCTTGTGGAGGGAGGGGGGGAAGGAGTGTATTCTGGCTGCATTCAGGGAACCGGAGCACAGATCCAGTTCCCTAGATCAAGAGCCCCTCACCAGCGTCAAGGAACCTCCCTCGAGGGGTTTTCCACTAAAATTAAAATGATTTTGACTAAAAATCTATAACTTTAAACTAAAAATGCCTGATCTCGTAGATTTTATTGTTTTCTTATGATTGGAAATATGTAAAAAATAACTCTAATGCAATATGTGGTAATTTTTAACCCTCAGACTGTCCAAACGTAGATCTACGTTTCTTTACATTTTAAAGCATGTGAAATAAAACATAAATCTTCTACTTACTCACGAAATCGTAATGACACGATTGCAAACCATACCACGGGTGGGGATAGAACCCGCGGTCAGAGAGTCTCAAAACTCCAGTGGCTAACGCGACGGTCTGGACAGTTTAAGGGTTAAGTTGCAAGGTTGTTATCCGAGTCTAACTCATAAGATATAGACTCATGTAATACTGTTTTTAACACCTTGTTAATTGGATATCTCGTCAGTGTTTGTGTATCAGTAACAATGAACACAGTCATCATGTTCAGGGAAGCCTGTCCAGGGAGACGAATTACAGGGAAGCCTGTCCAGGGAGACGAATTACGGGGAAGACTGTCCAGGGAGAAGAATTACAGGGAGGCCTGTCCAGGGGGACGAATTACAGGGAAGACTGTCCAGGGAGAAGAATTACAGGGAGGCCTGTCCAGGGAGACGAATTACAGGGAAGCCTGTCCAGGGAGACGAATTACAGGGAAACCTGTCCAGGGAGACGAATTACAGGGAAACCTGTCCAGGGGGACGAATTACAGGGAAGCCTGTCCAGGGAGACGAATTACAGGGAAGCCTGTCCAGGGAGACGAATTACAGGGAGGCCTGTCCTGGGGGACGAATTACAGGGAAGCCTGTCCAGGGAGACGAATTACAGGGAAACCTGTCCAGGGAGACGAATTACAGGGGGGCCTGTCCAGGGGGACGAATTACAGGGAAGCCTGTCCAGGGAGACGAATTACAGGGAGGCCTGTCCAGGGGGACGAATTACAGGGAAGCCTGTCCAGGGAGACGAATTACAGGGAAGCCTGTCCAGGGAGACGAATTACAGGGAAGCCTGTCCAGGGAGACGAATTACAGGGAAGCCTGTCCAGGGAGACGAATTACAGGGATACCTGTCCAGGGAGACGAATTACAGGGATACCTGTCCAGGGAGACGAATTACAGGGAGGCCTGTCCAGGGGGACGAATTACAGGGAAGCCTGTCCAGGGAGACGAATTACAGGGAAGCCTGTCCAGGGAGACGAATTACAGGGAAGCCTGTCCAGGGAGACGAATTACAGGGAAGCCTGTCCAGGGAGACGAATTACAGGGAAGCCTGTCCAGGGAGACGAATTACAGGGAAGCCTGTCCAGGGAGACGAATTACAGGGAAGCCTGTCCAGGGAGACGAATTACAGGGAGGCCTGTCCAGGGGGACGAATTACAGGGAAGCCTGTCCTGGGAGACGAATTACAGGGAAACCTGTCCAGGGAGACGAATTACAGGGAGGCCTGTCCAGGGGGACGAATTACAGGGAAGCCTGTCCAGGGAGACGAATTACAGGGAGGCCTGTCCAGGGGGACGAATTACAGGGAAGCCTGTCCAGGGAGACGAATTACAGGGAAGCCTGTCCAGGGAGACGAATTACAGGGAAGCCTGTCCAGGGAGACGAATTACAGGGAAGCCTGTCCAGGGAGACGAATTACAGGGATACCTGTCCAGGGAGACGAATTACAGGGAAACCTGTCCAGGGAGACGAATTACAGGGAAGCCTGTCCAGGGAGACGAATTACAGGGAAACCTGTCCAGGGAGACGAAATATTACAGGGAAACCTGTCCAGGGAGACGAATTACAAGGAAACCTGTCCAGGGAGACGAATTACAAGGAAACCTGTCCAGGGAGACGAAATATTACAGGGAAACCTGTCCAGGGAGACGAAATATTACAAGGAAACCTGTCCAGGGAGACGAAATATTACAAGGAAACCTGTCCAGGGAGACGAAATATTACAGGGAAACCTGTCCAGGGAGACGAAATATTACAGGGAAACCTGTCCAGGGAGACGAAATATTACAAGGAAACCTGTCCAGGGAGACGAAATATTACAAGGAAAACTGTCCAGGGAGACGAAATATTACAGGGAAACCTGTCCAGGGAGACGAAATATTACAAGGAAACCTGTCCAGGGAGACGAAATATTACAAGGAAACCTGTCCAGGGAGACGAAATGTTACAGGGAAACCTGTCCAGGGAGACGAAATAAGATTTTGGAAACGTTTTGCCAGCCAGTGGCGTCTTCGGTCCAATACAGAGAAGATCAGGGGGAGAGGAGGAGTTTGAGGTAATCAGTCCCTGATGGAGGAGTTGTTGTGGCCAGTCATATGTAGGTCAATTTATTATTCAATTATTTCCACACGACAAATCGTTGGTTAAAAATGGGTGACACTTAATTTTGCAAATGGGAAGCCCCTGGTTATGTAGGGAATAACCAGGGGATCCCATTAGCATTTCGGGCTCGTAGGAAAATAACATGTACAAAGCAAATGTGACTTTCCGGGTCCTGGAACACACCTGCTACTGGAAAACTGTTCAAAACTGTACAAAAATTGCACACATGTGCAACAGTTGGGCATGTTGATGAAACGTTTCGCTTACACAGTAGATTTCATCAGTCATATACAAAGGTAGCAGTAATAATGAAATAATGATGTAATCAGTCTATCAACCTCGGAGAAAAAGAATGAGGTGGTCAGTCCCTGAGCCTGGAGGCTGAGGGACTTCTAGGTCAGTACGTATTATATAAATGATAAACAATACCGACAGGTTGATAAGACACACTGGGAGGTATTCGACCTAATCAGTCCATTATCCTAGACGCTGGATGATCAGTCTCTTAGCCTGATCATCTTACACCAATGCTGGACTGTTGTCGACAGACTATCTTTGCTTTATTTAATTTGGCTTCCATCAACGATGTCTTCTGGAGTGTGATTCGTCTGTATAATCCACTGATAAAGCTTGCAACACAAGTGATATCTTACGTCAATAAAGATTCCCGGAGTGTGATTCGTCTCTATAATCCAATGATAAAGCTTGCAATACAAATATCTTACGTCAATAAAGATTCCTCGAGTGTGATTCGTCTCTATAATCCACTGATAAAGCTTGCAACACAAGTGATATCTTACGTCAATAAAGATTCCCGGAGTGTGATTCGTCTCTATAATCCAATGATAAAGCTTGCAATACAAATATCTTACGTCAATAAAGATTCCCGGAGTGTGATTCGTCTCTATAATCCACTGATAAAGCTTGTAACGCAGGTGATTCGTTACGTCAATAAAGATTCCTCGAGTGTGATTCGTCTCTATAATCCACTGATAAAGCTTGCAACACAAGTGATATCTTACGTCAATAAAGATTCCCGGAGTGTGATTCGTCTCTATAATCCACTGATAAAGCTTGTAACGCAGGTGATTCGTTACGTCAATAAAGATTCCTCGAGTGTGATTCGTCTCTATAATCCACTGATAAAGCTTGCAACACAAGTGATATCTTACGTCAATAAAGATTCCCGGAGTGTGATTCGTGTCTATAATCCACTGATAAAGCTTGTAACGCAGGTGATTCGTTACGTCAATAAAGATTCCTCGAGTGTGATTCGTCTCTATAATCCACTGATAAAGCTTGCAACACAAGTGATATCTTACGTCAATAAAGATTCCCGGAGTGTGATTCGTCTCTATAATCCACTGATAAAGCTTGCAACACAAGTGATATCTTACGTCAATAAAGATTCCCGGAGTGTGACTCTATAATCCACTGATAAAGCTTGCAACACAAGTGATATCTTACGTCAATAAAGATTCCCGGAGTGTGATTCGTCTCTATAATCCACTGATAAAGCTTGCAACACAAGTGATATCTTACGTCAATAAAGATTCCCGGAGTGTGATTCGTCTCTATAATCCACTGATAAAGCTTGTAACGCAGGTGATTCGTTACGTCAATAAAGATTCCTCGAGTGTGATTCGTCTCTATAATCCACTGATAAAGCTTGTAACGCAGGTGATTCGTTACGTCAATAAAGATTCCTCGAGTGTGATTCGTCTCTATAATCCACTGATAAAGCTTGCAACACAAGTGATATCTTACGTCAATAAAGATTCCCGGAGTGTGATTCGTCTCTATAATCCACTGATAAAGCTTGTAACGCAGGTGATTCGTTACGTCAATAAAGATTCCTCGAGTGTGATTCGTCTCTATAATCCACTGATAAAGCTTGTAACGCAGGTGATTCGTTACGTCAATAAAGATTCCTCGAGTGTGATTCGTCTCTATAATCCACTGATAAAGCTTGCAACACAAGCGATATCTTACGTCAATAAAGATTCCCGGAGTGTGATTCGTCTCTATAATCCACTGATAAAGCTTGCAACACAAGTGATATCTTACGTCAATAAAGATTCCCGGAGTGTGATTCGTCTCTATAATCCACTGATAAAGCTTGCAACACAAGTGATATCTTACGTCAATAAAGATTCCCGGAGTGTGATTCGTCTCTATAATCCACTGATAAAGCTTGTAACGCAGGTGATTCGTTACGTCAATAAAGATTCCTCGAGTGTGATTCGTCTCTATAATCCACTGATAAAGCTTGCAACACAAGCGATATCTTACGTCAATAAAGATTCCCGGAGTGTGATTCGTCTCTATAATCCACTGATAAAGCTTGCAACACAAGTGATATCTTACGTCAATAAAGATTCCCGGAGTGTGATTCGTCTCTATAATCCACTGATAAAGCTTGTAACGCAGGTGATTCGTTACGTCAATAAAGATTCCTCGAGTGTGATTCGTCTCTATAATCAACTGATAAAGCTTGCAACACAAGTGATATCTTACGTCAATAAAGATTCCCGGAGTGTGATTCGTCTCTATAATCCACTGATAAAGCTTGCAACACAAGTGATATCTTACGTCAATAAAGATTCCCGGAGTGTGATTCGTCTCTATAATCCACTGATAAAGCTTGTAACGCAGGTGATTCGTTACGTCAATAAAGATTCCTCGAGTGTGATTCGTCTCTATAATCCACTGATAAAGCTTGTAAAGCAGGTGATTCGTTACGTCAATAAAGATTCCTCGAGTGTGATTCGTCTCTATAATCCACTGATAAAGCTTGCAACACAAGCGATATCTTACGTCAATAAAGATTCCCGGAGTGTGATTCGTCTCTATAATCCACTGATAAAGCTTGCAACACAAGTGATATCTTACGTCAATAAAGATTCCCGGAGTGTGATTCGTCTCTATAATCCACTGATAAAGCTTGCAACACAAGTGATATCTTACGTCAATAAAGATTCCCGGAGTGTGATTCGTCTCTATAATCCACTGATAAAGCTTGTAACGCAGGTGATTCGTTACGTCAATAAAGATTCCTCGAGTGTGATTCGTCTCTATAATCCACTGATAAAGCTTGTAACGCAGGTGATTCGTTACGTCAATAAAGATTCCTCGAGTGTGATTCGTCTCTATAATCCACTGATAAAGCTTGCAACACAAGCGATATCTTACGTCAATAAAGATTCCCGGAGTGTGATTCGTCTCTATAATCCACTGATAAAGCTTGCAACACAAGTGATATCTTACGTCAATAAAGATTCCCGGAGTGTGATTCGTCTCTATAATCCACTGATAAAGCTTGTAACGCAGGTGATTCGTTACGTCAATAAAGATTCCTCGAGTGTGATTCGTCTCTATAATCAACTGATAAAGCTTGCAACACAAGTGATATCTTACGTCAATAAAGATTCCCGGAGTGTGATTCGTCTCTATAATCCACTGATAAAGCTTGCAACACAAGTGATATCTTACGTCAATAAAGATTCCCGGAGTGTGATTCGTCTCTATAATCCACTGATAAAGCTTGTAACGCAGGTGATTCGTTACGTCAATAAAGATTCCTCGAGTGTGATTCGTCTCTATAATCCACTGATAAAGCTTGTAACGCAGGTGATTCGTTACGTCAATAAAGATTCCTCGAGTGTGATTCGTCTCTATAATCCACTGATAAAGCTTGCAACACAAGCGATATCTTACGTCAATAAAGATTCCCGGAGTGTGATTCGTCTCTATAATCCACTGATAAAGCTTGCAACACAAGTGATATCTTACGTCAATAAAGATTCCCGGAGTGTGATTCGTCTCTATAATCCACTGATAAAGCTTGTAACGCAGGTGATTCGTTACGTCAATAAAGATTCCTCGAGTGTGATTCGTCTCTATAATCAACTGATAAAGCTTGCAACACAAGTGATATCTTACGTCAATGAAGATTCCTATTGGAGTAAATTGTATGGATAAACAGACACAAATGCAGTACAGGGTGACCCAAAAGTCTGGACACGTAGGAAACATTAATAATATTCTATTTTTCCCCGCAGTTACCGGAGATACTTCGGCATGTTCAACTGAATCCTGGAAAGTGCACTGAACTTTGCATCGGTACTTGTAGACATGTATAATTATTACAGAAATGTATAATTATAATTACAAAAATGCAATTTCACTGTGTCTAAGCTTTTAGGTCACCCTGTATAATGCGATTATATATTGACTACGTGTTATACTTCACTTGTGTATTTTTTCCAAAGATTTCATGTGTTGCACGCGTCTTATCACGTACTGTACGTGTTTATTTCTTCCAGCTGTGATGGAATGTTTGGAGGAACAGTGGCAGTGTTCCAGTGGGCAATGCGTCCTTCTGACGGACCGATGTGACCTCCACTTTGACTGCTACGACAAGTCGGACGAGCTTAACTGTAGTGAGTATTGATGTACAGGTACTCTTTAGCGTCCTATTGTAAACAAACCACGGAACGGGTTGAGTTTGAACCCATGGCGAATGAATCGTAAAATTCCAGGCCAGTGCCTAAGCCACTTGGCCAGCTGAACCAGTGGCTTAGGCCATCGGTTCAAACGACAAGTTGAAGATTAGGACACTTGTGCAACATTTCGTCAGTCACTGGCTTCTTCTGTCTAGTACAGAGATTAGTGGTGGAAAATTAAGAATTTAATGTAATCAGTCCCTCAGCCTGGGGTCGACTGTTCAGTCCATATATTTAGTGAAGGTTTATAAATTACAGGAGGCAGTTAGGGTACATATAAATAACTATTCTAGGACACATGGGCTAGTAAGAGCATAGGCAATGGGGTTGAAGATGTATGGGGTAGGTTTAAAAATGTAGTGTTAGAGTGCTCAGCAGAAGTTTGTAGTTACAGGAAAGTGGGTGCGGGAGGGAAGAAGAGCGATTGGTGGAATGATGTAGAGAGAGTAGTAAGGGAGAAAAAGTTAGCATATGAGAGGTTTCTACAAAGTAGAAGTGATGCAAGGAGGAGGGAGTATATGGAGATAAAAAAGAGAGGTTAAGAGAGTGGTGAAAGAATATAAAAAGAGAGCAAATGAGAGAGTGGGTGAGGTACTATCAACATATTTTGAGAATAAAGAAAAGTTTTGGAGATTAATAAGTTGACTAAAGCAAAGAGAACTAATGGATTCGACAGTTAAATATAGAAGAGAAGAGTTGTTAGATGAAGAGGTAGAGGTATTGGGAAGATGAACGAAATATTTTGAGGAACTGCTAAATGTTGAAGACAGGGAAGCTGTGATTTCGTGCACTGAGCAGGGAGGTATAACATCTTGTATGAGTGAGGAAGAGCCAGCTGTGGGTGCAGAGGAGGTGCGTGAGGAAGTGGGTAAAATGAAAGGGGATAAAGCAGCTGGGATTGATGGGATCAAGACAGAAGTGTTAAAAGCACGCACACACACACACACACACACACACACACACACACACACACACACACACACACACACACACACACACAAAGGGATCTGGACAGGCTGCAGACCTGGTCCAGCAATTGGCTCCTGGAGTTCAATCCCACCAAGTGCAAAGTCATGAAGATTGGGGAAGGGCAAAGAAGACCGCAGACGGAGTACAGTCTAGGGGGCCAGAGACTACAAACCTCACTCAAGGAAAAAGATCTTGGGGTGAGTATAACACCAGGCACATCTCCTGAAGCGCACATCAATCAAATAACTGCTGCAGCATATGAGCGCCTAGCAAACCTCAGAACAGCATTCCGACATCTTAATAAGGAATCGTTCAGGACCCTGTACACCGTGTACGTTAGGCCCATATTGGAGTATGCGGCACCAGTTTGGAACCTACACCTAGCCAAGCACGTGAAGAAATTAGAGAAAGTGCAAAGGTTTGCAACAAAACTAGTCCCAGAGCTAAGAGGTATGTCCTACGAGGAGAGGTTAAGGGAAATCAACCTGACGACACTGGAGGACAAGAGAGATAGGGGAGACATGATAACGACATACAAAATACTGAGAGGAATTGACAATGTGGACAAAGACAGGATGTTCCAGAGATTGGACACAGTAACAAGGGGACACAGTTGGAAGTTGAAGACACAGATGAATCACAGGGATGTTAGGAAGTATTTCTTCAGCCACAGAGTAGTCAGTAAGTGGAATAGTTTGGGAAGCGATGTAATGGAGGCAGGATCCATACATAGCTTTAAGCAGAGGTATGATAAAGCTCACGGCTCAGGGAGAGTGACCTAGTAGCGATCAGTGAAGAGGCGGGGCCAGGAGCTCGGACTCGACCCCCGCAACCTCAACTAGGTGAGTACACACACAGAGAGAGAGAGAGAGAGAGAGAGAGAGAGAGAGAGAGAGAGAGAGAGAGAGAGAGAGAGAGAGAGAGAGAGAGAGAGAGAGAGAGAGAGAGAGAGAGAGAGAAGTAAGTCACATCGTCTGAATTTGTACAGACGCAGTCTTTATACTGCAAAGCAGTTAGGTATAACATTAACTAGCGAATTAAACTGCGAGGTCCTGGATGACGGCACGCTGGCAGGCACAAAGGAACCCTTAGTACATAATTAGTAGGTGAGGACACAGGGACACACCATTGGACTTGTCCTCAATCTTTCCAAATGGGAAGTCATCTCAACCAGGCAACAAACAATGAACAAGAAATGATTCACACTGTCATGTCTGTCAGTCATTACTCTCACTGATATGATCCTGCTTGAGGCCCCATAGGTACTGTTACCTTTGAGGAAGATCTTATTACAGATTGTACGGTGCTCTTCACCAGCTCCGAGGCTGAGGGACTGATTACCTCCTCTTTTTGTATATGTAGTTCTATAGTCTTCCGATTATGTCCTTGAATTTGTATTGATGAAGCCAGATGTTGCATATGCGTAACTACCATACCAGGGGTGGGGCTTGAACTCGCGGTTAGTGAGTTGTAAAACTCCAGACCGTCGCATTAGCCACTGGGCCAGCTGGCTACAATAAGGTTCATCCAACTATGTATATTTATACATCATAGGAAGGTTAGCAGGGGCCACCACTGTGACCACAAATGCAAGTTTATACAGATGAATCTCCAGCCAGTGTGATCGTGACGAACTCTAGCTCAAGTCCCCTCTAAACCATGATTATGACTCAAGAAATCGTAGACATGATTGTAAACATACCATACCACAGGCGGGGCTTGAACTCGCGGATTTGTGGTCACAGTAGTGCCTATGCTAACCTTCCAAAGGTGTCTAAATATATCTAACTGGATGAATCTTATTGTAGCCAGCTGACCCAGTGGCTAACGCGTCGGTCTGGAGTTGTACGACTAACCGCGAGTTCAAACCCCACCCGTGATATGGTTTGTCTGCAATCGTCTCATTACTAAACATAGTTCTGTGCCCACAAAATTAGTGTTTTAACCGAGACGATGACTGGTAAATAGCTATCCTGCATGTGCAACACCATGAATCTTTTGACGAAATATATCGTATGCGCTGCAACCTTTATCAATTGAATGTGGAGATGAATCACACCCGTGGAGATACTGTTGGAAGACGAAATTGACGATATTTACGAGAAATCGGCAGATTAGTTCAGAAATCAAGATCTTTGTCGTATTTCAGAAGAAAGGACCTTATGGTATGAGTAACAGTAAGAAAAGCCTTGTAACAGGATGCCCACGAAAGATGGAGTCATTAACAGATCAGATGGCAGCCAAAAGCGTCCAGATGGAATTACCTTGCAAGCCTGGACAGATGGCAAGCTGCAGGTGTGAGGCTTCACATGTGCATCCACACTGCCTGGCACCTGTTGCCAATAAAGAAAAGACGTGAAGGGATCAGCTTCCAGTGTCAGGGTATCCCAAAAGTCTATAATACATAACGAACTTGTTCATCGTTATATCTTGGTTATGACAGCTTTAGAGACATTGGGCTCAAGGGTAAAGAGATCATTTAAATTCTCGGGAAATGCCAAGGAATCATCAGGATTTTTAAAGTACCTAAATCAGCAAATTTTCCGTTTTAGAGTTGCAGTTTAGAGGAGTAAACCCTTTAAAAGTATTTCTTAAGAGACACCCTGTGTACTTATGAAGTGTCTGCTAAGCTTTTTATGTTACATAGGAGTGAATGGAGACATATGGTTTTTAATACTTGACGTGCTGTTGGAGTGTGAGCAAAGTAATATTGATGAAGGGATTCAGGGAAACCAGCAGGCCGGACTTGAGTCCTGGAGATGGGAAGTACAGTGTCTGCACTCTGAAGGAGGGGAGTTAATGTTGCAGTTTTGTAACTGTAGTGTAAAGCACCCTTCTGGCAACACAGTGATGGAGTGAATGATGGTGAATGTATTTCTTTTTCGGGCCACCGTACCTTGGTGGGAATCGGCCGATGTGTTAACAAAAATAAAATATATTAACACACATTTCGTTACTTGTTAACCCACATATAACCTTCGTTAATTTTCCTTCTTTCCCAGGTGAGCACCGGTGTGGCTCGGGTCAGGTCAAGTGCAACACAGGTCAGTGTCTGCCACAGAGCTTCTGGTGTGACCATATCAACGACTGTCCTGACAAGTCCGATGAGCTAAACTGTGGTGAGTGTCGGTGTTTATGTACGAGGCGAGTGTCGAAGGCAATAAAGTGTGTTAAACTTGCTTATTAGTGTAGATTAAATGGTAATACGACTTCATTTTGACTTCAGAGGCTGAGAGCTTGGAGTGCGAGCCGGCCGGGTTCTTGTGCGCGAGTGGAGGTCAGTGCATTCCCAGAGAAGAGAGATGTATCATCTTCAGGGACAGACATCAGGGCTGCACTGATGGCTCTCACCTCCTCAACTGCAGTAAGTATAACGAGGATGTACATTGGTAGAATGGAAAACATAACCGAAACAACGTTTCGCTCGGTGACCAATGTTTCATCAATCGTGGGTTTTACATCATCCCCTGCCGGAACTATACTCTCGAACCTGGTAGTCCTAGTTACTAATGATCATGAAAAATCCTGACATTATTAAAAGTTCAAATGAACTCCCAATATCTCTCTCTCTATGTATGTTCTCGGATTACGGGTACAACACCTAGCTTGGCTGGGAGCGCCATTGAAAATTATGTGGTCTCGTGGACTAGAGCGTCATGTGTCTTTCCCTCACCATGAGGCAGGCCAAAGCAGCATGGGTTAGACTCCTTGGCTAGCTGCAGTGTTGTTAATGATATATATATATATCTCAAATAGCGAAACAAGTAATTCTGAATCATTAACAGAACTGCGGCTTGGCCAGGACTCGATCCTGCGTTCCCTGTGTGAAATGAACGAAGTAAGCATCACTATCCACTGGACCACCATCCTAGGATGGTGGTCCAGTGGATAGTGATGCTGGCCGGCCTCAAAACCCGGCCAGCCTGGTTCACAAGCCATGTTTCTTTCCCAGTCCAGGCACATCAGCTGTTTCGATCATCTCCTGTACGTTTTGACCTTACAAGAGATTTTATGTATCAGAGGGTATTATACAGAGTAAAATCACAAACTCCTGCTGTGATCTTTTTACATATATACCCGCTATTTGTTAGGTCTGTCAGCCTCTCGCCTTCTCGCGGGTCATTAAACCGGTCTTATGTTCAATGTTATTAGGAACAAAATACTTTAATTTATACACGATTGGAAGGTTAGTATAGGCCACCACTGTGACCACAAATGCAAGTTTTTGCAGATGAATCTTCCGCCAGCGTGGCCGTGACGAACTCTAGAGTTCGTCACAGCCATGCTGGCGTGAGATTCGTCTGTAAAAACTTGCATTTGTGGTCACAGTGGTGGCCTATGCTAACCTTCCAATGGTGTATAAATATACCTGGATGAATCTTATTGTAGCCAGCTGACCCAGTGGCTAACGCGTCGGTATGGAGTTTTATGACTCTCTGACCGCGGGTTCTAACCCCACCAGTTTTAAAATACTTTAATTTCTGAAATAAGCGTTAAAGACAATTAGCATTACATACAGACATATAAAGCTTAAGACATGTGCAACAGTTGGGAATTTTTATTGTCGAAACGTTTCGACTACACAGTAGGTTTCTTCAGTCAAATACAGAGGCAGCAGGTGCAGAGAAAAAGTATTTGAGGTGGTCAGTCCCTCAGCCTGGAGAAGACTTCAGCTTTATGATCTGGAACGATATCTCAGGTATAAATCACGATTATAAATCACAATTATAAATCTCTGGCACGAATTACGAATGCACATCACGAGTAGAAACTATAAGTACAAATCACAAGTACAAACTACGAGTACAAATCACAAGTACAAATCACGAGTAGAAACTACAAGTAGAAATCACAAGCACAAATCACGAGTACAAATCACAAGTACAAACTACGAGTAGAGACTACAAGTAGAAATCACAAGTACAAATCACGAGTACAAATCACAAGTACAAATCACAAGTACAAATCACGAGTAGAAACTACAAGTAGAAATCACAAGTACAAATCACGAGTACAAATCACAAGTACAAACTACGAGTACAAATCACAAGTACAAATCACGAGTAGAAACTACAAGTAGAAATCACAAGTACAAATCACGAGTACAAATCACAAGTACAAATCACGAGTACAAATCACAAGTACAAATCACAAGTACAAACTACGAGTACAAATCACAAGTACAAATCACGAGTAGAAACTACAAGTAGAAATCACAAGTACAAACTACGAGTACAAATCACAAGTACAAATCACGAGTAGAAACTACAAGTAGAAATCACAAGTACAAATCACGAGTACAAATCACAAGTACAAATCACGAGTACAAATCACAAGTACAAATCACAAGTACAAATCACAAGTACAAATCACAATTATACATTAGGGTACAAAATCACTAGAACATGACGTTCAATTATAATATGCAAAGTAATGGCTTCAAAATTCCTTCTAAAATAATTGTTTAATATAAATTTAATTACACTATATTAAGCTGTCCTAACAGTAATTACCCAATTAAAAAATAGCAAAATTATGTACTGTGACAGCCTAATTATATATAATTACGACCGAGATCATGGCTAAAATCGTTTTCAAAAACGATGGGGGTATCCAACCCCCTTTTTTTTTTTTAATAAATTTGGGTACGTCTGTAGTGAGAAGCTTCACAATTCTATGTTGGATTATATAGAAAAAAATTATATAGTATCTATTGTACGAGGTTAAGAAATGTGTTAACTTGTGTTAGAAGACTTCAGTAGGGGCAACGAGGATCCATACAACCCGCACGTAGAAGTTTACGACGACATTTCGGTCCTACCTGAACCTGGGTGGCGGTGTTCGTCCCATGTTCTGGAAATTCCTGTCACCACCTGGTTGTAGCACCACAATTAAGATTTCAGAGAGTAGTTGTAATGTCCCTGTCTACAGGACGTAGTGGGACATTACAACTGCTGTGAAATCTAAATTGTGGTGGTACAACCAGGTGGTGACAGGAATTTCCAGAACATGGGACGAACAGGGCAACCAACACTGTTTCTTCAAAGCATCACAAAACCATCCTGGGCATGAGATACTCCTATCCCATCATACTGGAACCATAGCGGCCAATTTTTATTTGATTTTAATTACAAGCCTTAGAAAATCATCATTATTATTCCTAGGGCTCTGGTGGCCTGGTGGTTAACGCTCTCGCTTCACACGGTGAGGGCCTGGGTTCGATTCCCAGCCAGAGTAGAAACATTGGGCGTGTTTCTTTCCACCTGTTGTCTATGTTCCCCATCAGTAAAATGGGTACCTGGGTGTTAGTCGACTGGTGTGGGTCGCATCCTGGGACACTGACCTAAGGAGGCCTGGTCACAGACCGGGCCGCGGGGGCGTTGACCCCCGGAACTCTCTCCAGATAAACTCCAGACTCATTCATCCATTTATTTTTCCAGACGGAAGGCGCTCCCCTGACATTCATCACTTTGTTGTAAGTGTAAATATTTGACCTTATCAAACGACCTCGTAAGTTATGACTTTTGAAATCGCAATAACACATAAATCACGGACTGGGTGAGACTTGAGCCCATAGAAATAAAATGAAAATGAGTAACTGGCAGCAAGAGACTGTAAAGTTCCGAGATGCCGAAGGTATTAAGAAACAGTAAGTAGCCTGTGGTACGAGCCATAAGGTTTAAGACGAGCAGATAGTTTGCCTTATTAGCAATCATTACGATTTCGTGTATCAGTCACGATGCATTCGTTTTTGCAATAAGGTTTAAGACGAGCAGACAGTTTGCCTTATTAGCAATCATTACGATTTCGTGTATCAGTCACGATGCATTCGTTTTTGCAATAAGGTTTAAGACGAGCAGACAGTTTGCCTTATTAGCAATCATTACGATTTCGTGTATCAGTCACGATGCATTCGTTTTTGCAATAAGGTTTAAGACGAGCAGACAGTTTGCCTTATTAGCAATCATTACGATTTCGTGTATCAGTCACGATGCATTCGTTTTTGCAATAAGGTTTAAGACGAGCAGACAGTTTGCCTTATTAGCAATCATTACGATTTCGTGTATCAGTCACGATGCATTCGTTTTTGCAACGAGGAACACTGCAACGAGGAGGAAATAGAACTCTGCAATAAAAACAGTAGGAGTCTAAAGCAATCTATCGTGTTAATTTTTTAAAAAAGATTGCATTCCCTACTCAAGGAAGGAATTTTTAGGCATCAAGACGGCAGAAACATCTGGAAATGGTTAGGGAAAGGCGACCACAAGTCAAAGTAAAAAAAAAATAAATAAAAAAAAAAGGTGTCACAGACAGGGAAAAAGTGATCAATATGAAACAATGATACACCATACCACGGGTGGGGTTAGAACCCGCGATCACAGAGTCATAAAACTCCAGACCGACGCCTTAGCCACTAGGCCAGCTGACTACAACAAGATTCACCCAACTAGGGTATATTTCTACACCACAGGAAGGTTAGCAATCGTGTCATTACGATTTCGTGAGTCATGTGAATAATAATACATTGGAAAATATAATAATCTGAAAATTTGCCTTATTAGGAAGAGGATCGACGATAAAATGTATCAGACTGTCAGATATAAGGTAATTATTATTATAATCAAGGGGAAGCGCTGAACCCGTACGATTATACAGCGCCTGTGGGGGGATGGAAGGTATTCAGGCTCAATTCAGGGAACTGGAACACAGATCCAATTCACTAGATCAAGAGCCCCTCACCAGCGTCAAGGAACCTCCCTTGAGGGGAGATATAAGGTAATAAGATAAAAAACGTTACTAAGGCATCAATAATAAGGGAAACAACAGGTATCGCAGCGACTCACTGAGGAGGAAGCACTGGAGTCTGTAACCAGGTTCCCGACAGAGAACTATCGTAAATCCTATAAACACAAACGAAATCCTTGATATAAATATAATAATGGCATTAAAAAACAAGTGAGGAGAAACACCGGACCTGTTTATTTGAAAACGATTCGGTCCTAGGACCTTGATCACTTCTAAAATACAGAAGTTAAAATGACAGAATACTATTTTTGAAATACCTTACTGGGGCGGAGAGTGGAGTGCGAGTGACACAATGACTTGAAAAATACCATATTTGACATGAGGACACGTAGACAGTGAAGTCATGTTATACAAATAACCCGCACATAAAACAGAGAAGCTTACGACGACGTTTCGGTCCGACTTGGACCATTTACAAAGTCGTAAGCTTCTCTCTTTTATGTGCGAGTTATTTGTGTATCGTTCCAGTCACGGTACCCCTCAAGGAAGGTTCCTTGATGTTGGTGAGGGGCTCTTGATTTAGGGAATTGGATCTGTGCTCCAGTTCCCCGAATTAAG